CCCCTCCCCTGCCTAAACCCCGTGCGCAGCCCTTTCCTCTGCCCGGCCCTGCATACCCTCCGTACACCCCCCTGAACCCCGTTTCCCCTGCAACCCCCTCCCAACAAAGGGACCTGGCTGACGAGCTGGCGGTCAACTTCTGCTATGCCAACACAAAGGCCGCGCGCAGGAGGCTGGTGCGCGGAGACTGGGCGGGCCGCGGCTCCCGGGCTTGGCGCGGGACGGGGCATGAGGCCGGCGGGCGCCGGCGGCCGCGCTGTGGCTCGACTCGCGCGGCTGCCCCTCCCTTGCCCAGGAGTGGTCTCTCTTCGCGCGCGCACACACACACACACACACACACACACACACACACACACACAATCACACACACACACAATCACACACACAATCACAGATTGCGCAGACACGAACGGCGATATGTGCATGTGCGCACACGCACTCTACTCCGCCCTCCAGTTCTCACACACACACACACACAATCACAATCCCCTCCTCTTTCTGGGTGCTCATGCACACTCACACGTTCAAACATTCGCTCCCCCTTGGCCTCCACAAATCCATCCCTGCAGGTGCGCACCCTGGTTGACGTCCCGCGCGGTGGGCTGCAGCTGCTGCCCTACTGGGCCAGAGTGGCAGCCACCCTCAGCCAGTGCTACCCTGACGTCGGGCAGGGTGGGTGCTTGGCCGCCCAGGAGGGCCCCTGCTTCGACAAGCCGTGAATGGGCTGCCGTTCTGCGCGCTTACCCCCTTTCTGTTCCTGTCAGCTGCCCTTTGCATCGGGCCCCTTATCAATGTACGCTGTGTGCGCACATGCGTTCGCGTGTGCGTGCATGTGTGTGTGTATGTGTGTGTGTGTGTTGTGCGGTAACCGCGGTCGCACACAGACAATAACTGCCGTTTGCTGCACATCCAAGTAGTCTTGCCGCCTGACAGGGGTTCAGACCGCGCCAGCTCGCACGGCTCCGTGGCTGCGGCGGAGGCGCCCGTCTGCCACTCCAACGTCATCCTGTACCGCGGGCGCTCACTAAACCCCGATCCCTCAAACCCTGCTGATCCCCACGGCCGCGCCGCAGGCGTGCTGTCTGCTGTGGAGGCTGAGTTTGATGCGCAGCTGGCCGCCAGGAAGGAGTCCGTGGCGGCCCACGAAGAGCCGCGCCTCAGGACGGCCAGGTGATTTTGTGTGTGTATGTGTGTATGTGTGTATGTGTGTGTGTGCATGTGCGTGTGTTGCGTGTGCGTGTGTTGTGTGTGTGTGTGTGCCTTTCTGCACACACACACACACACACACACACACACACGCACGCACACATGCACACAACGCACACACACGACGGGTGGCCATGAGGGGCTGTCACGCAGCAAGCCTGTTCCAAAGCGTGCACAACGCACGTCGTTCCATACATCTTCCGCACTCCCATTGGTGATGCCACCGTCGCCGTGTTGCCACGATGACGACGAATGACGTCACCCCCTCACCGGCCCCCAACAGGTACCTGGCCGAGCTCTCCAAGTTCCGCCTGGCTGCCCCCTCCTCCGCCCTGCTGCGCCTGAAGCTGCTGCTCGACGACTTCAACGGCTCAAACATAGACGCGGCCTGCGCGCTGGTGGAGGGCGCGGGGCGCTTCTTCATGCGCCTGCCGGGTGCGGTCCGCGCGCCCTCGTCGCATGTGTGCCTGCCGTGTTTGGTGCTGCATGTCGGGACGGCTTTTCGCATTCGTCCAGCGTTCTCATTTGCAGAGCACTTTGGGTGGTCAGGAATGGCCGAAAAGGGGATTGAACGTCAGAAATGATGATCAGTCGGCTGCCAAACAATTACGAGCTGCTTCCAGGGGTCAAAGTTTCACCGCCACCGCCGCTGCTGCTCACATCACCCCTTCCCTTGGATTGCCTGTTGATATCACAAAACGACCCTCGGAAACTCCTATGCAGAGTCCAAGGTGCGGATGGAGAACCTGCTGGCGGTGATGATGCGGCTGCGCAACGCCCGCAACCTCGACAGCCGCCACGCGGCGGCGGTGGACGCGGCCTACTTTGCCTGCAGGTGTGTTCGTGAGTGTTGGGTGTGTGAGAGAGAGAGAGTGTGTGTGTGTGCGTGTGTGTGCGCGTGCGTGCGCCTGCGCGCTCATCTGAAGGAGTGTATGTGTGTTGAAAACGCGCGCGCATGAATGCAGCGGTGGTACTCCCTTTAGGGAGGTGCTCAGAAGCAAGCCGTGCTCGTGGGCGCGCGGGTTGATGCCTGGGTCTCGCAGCTCCGTCTCAGGACAGAGAGGTGCAGTGATGCGTGCGCATCATGCAGGCGGTCCAGAGGACTCACGAGACAGCTTGCCTCTGGCCAGCCGATCCGCGGAAGAGCTGCCCAAACTCCCGGCCCACCTCCCTGCAGGCCGCCCCGCTTGCCGGCCGTGCCGCGCGATGCACCCGGCCGCGCGAAACTCTTTGCTCACCCTCCTACGCCCACACGCCCGCTCGCCGGAACTGCCCAGGCCGCCTGACGCCGCGGCGCGGCGGCGGCGGCGGCCGCCGCTTCAGGAGTATATCCGGCACCTGATATTCGAGAGGCTGGGGCAGGGTGGGTGCCTCCTGTCAATTCCCAGGGGTGTGCGCCTTTTGACTTTGCAGGGGCGTGGGTGTTGCTGGCCGCTGCTGCGTCGACACGGCGGGCTTCTGCTCTCTGGCAAAGGGCGGCCCGCATCTGATTTGCGGGTGTCTGTCCGGGCGGTCGAGGCTGCTCGGCTGCCGGCCTGACTAACGTACAGCATGCGAGCATGCCGCCCAGCACGTGCGCGCACGCACGCGGGTAAGGCACGGTTGCGCGTGCTCAGAGGCATCTGAACCCCAACAAAGGGTACAGATTCCTCCTCTGCACCACGCACACACACACACACATACACTCTCTCTCTCTCTCTCTCTAAGGCGCACACACACACACACATTCAGGCACACAAACGCACACTCACATACACAGTCGACCACTCACATACACAATCGACCACACACGCAAACTCCCACCACCACCCACAGGCGCCATTGTTGATGTGCTGCGCAAGCTGATGAAGCTGCCCTGGGCCGACTGCGAGAGATACGTGCTCAAGTGCATGCTCAAGGTGGGCTGCCCCTGAGGGGCCTGCGTGGCGGCCGGCCCGCCGCCGGCCGCATCCGATTCGTAACGCATCCACATCTGCGGGCTGGTGAGGGCGTGGAGCGGGGCGCCGATCCGCCGGGCAGGTGGCGGCCTTTCGCACCCGCCGTCCGGCTTGGTGAGGGCGCTGCTGCGCTCAGTCTCAGAGGCTTCCACCACCGCCGTCAAAGGCAACGGGCCCGGCCTCGGCCACCTCACAAACGCTCCCTCACAAGTGTGTGGTGGCAGTGCACACTCTTACTTTGTCACCGTCCGCCTCTTTCCATCCCCCTCAGGTGGTGCGTGTGAGGTTCAGCCACATCAGCCTCATAGCGAGCCTGGCGGGGGGCCTCGCGCAGGTGCGTCAAGGGAGGGCCGAGGAGAGGGGGAGGGGAGGGCGGCCGGCCGCGTCGGAATGCGTGAACAGTGGTGTGCCGGGGCGGCGTTGACTGTCCGTGGCTGGCCCCCGCCGGCTCGGTGGACCACCAGACATGCTTGGGCGCCGGCGTCAGTCGCTTGCAAATGCTGCCGCGGCGGCACCCCCAGTTGCGGGCAGCTGCATCCCATCTGTGAGGTCCGGCAGAGCCACCAGCAGATGGTCACGTACTCTGGGCAACGAGTCCATAACCCCTTCAGCAGCATGGCAACCTCACAGTCCCTCACCATAGTCAATGAATGCCGTCCGACTGGATCCCCACCGCTGATCACGCAACCCTTTCACCATCATTAGTACCATGAGTCATTGGGGGTGGCCCTGGTGGACTGCGTCCTGGATGATGTCAGATGGGGCCTGGACAACCCCGCGGCGGGTGGGCAGGCTTCTCCTTGGGTTTTGTTCCTGTCTTCTGTTGATGAGGGGGCATGCGATGGCGCTTCCAAATCGCGGAGCCTTCCTGTGCCGGCAGGCCTCACCTGTGTGTTTGCTATGTTTGTTACCCACACACACAATCAAAGTCGCACTCGTGCACCAACACACACATACATTCATACATACATACGCAAAATCACGCTCACACACACACACCCACAACCTCACCCGCACCCTCACTCATGTATTCGCTAATGTGCACGCATGCAAGCTTGCTGACATTGGCCTGCTGACGTCACCCTCCCCCCAACAACCCCCAACAGGCAACTACCAGAAGCGTCTCGCCGAGATGCGGCTTCTGGGGGAGATGTACAACTACATGCTCATGGACTCAAAGTGAGGGGATGGGGCGGGGGCGAGGGAAGGGGGGAGGGGTGGGGCGCGGAGGGTTTGGGCGCACAGGCGGGGG